TGAAAATAAGATCAAGTGTTTCAGAACAGATAATGGAGAAGAATACACAAGTGAAGAATTTGATGACTTTTGCAGGAAAGAATGCATCAAAAGACAGTTCACAGTGGCGAACACTCCTCAACAAAATGGAGTGGTAGAACGGATGAACAAAACCTTGTTAGAAAGAACAAGAGCAATATTGAGGGTTGCAGGCCTAGAAAAATCATTTTGGGCAGAAACAGTCAATATCGCCTGTTATTTGGTGAATCGAGCTTCATCAACTGCAATAGAGCTGAAGACACCAATGGAGACGTGGACTGGTAAACCAGCTGATTATTCAAACCTTCATGTATTTGGAAGTATAGTGTACGTGATGTACAACTCCCAAGAAATTTCAAAGTTGGATCCAAAATCCAGGAAATGCAAATTCTTGGGGTATGTTGATGGGGTAAAGGGGTATCTCTTGTGGGATCCCACTGCCCGCAAAGTGATCATCAACATGGATATTATCTTTGTAGAAGATAAACTGCGAAGAAAAGAAGATGATTATAGCACTGAAAAGTCAGAGACCACTCAGATACATGTGGAAAAGGAGTTTGAACAAGGAGATTCTTCTGAAGCAGAACTAGCACATGATGAACAAGAACCAGAGAGTTCTAAAGCTCCAACAACTTGTCAATCAAATCGTGTAAGAAGACGTCCCAATTGGCACTCAGATTATGTTATAGAATGAAATATTGCATACTGCCTTTTAACAGAGGACGGTGAGCCATCAACATACCATGAGGCAATAAACAACTCAGATGCTTCACTATTGATGATGGCGATACAAGAAGAAATTGAAGCCCTTCATAAAAATAATACATGAAACCTTGTGCCACCACCACAAGGAAGGAAGCCAATTGGTAACAAATGGGTCTTCAAAATCAAGAAAAATGGTGACGATCAAGTTGAGAGGTATCTTGCAAGACTGGTGGTCAAAGGATATGCTCAAAAAGAAGGTATTGATTTCAATGAAATCTTTTCTCCTGTGGTTTGACTAATAACAATTCGAGTAGTCTTGGCAATGTGTGCTACATTGAACTTACATATAGAGCAGCTAGATGTTAAAACAACTTTTCTTTATGGAAATCTTGAAGAACAAATTTACATACTCCAACCTGAAGGTTTTAAAGAAGAAAAAAAGAACTTGGTTTGCAGGTTGAAAAAATCTATGTATTGTCTAAGCATGCATCGAGATGTTGGTATAAGAGATTTGATTCCTTTATTATGTGCCTTGGATACAATAGACATAATGCAGACCCTTGTGCTTATTTCAAGAGGTTTGGTGATAACAATTTTGTTATATTGTTGTTGTATGTGGATGACATGTTGGTTGCAGGACCCAACAAAGATCATATTGAAGAATTGAAGGCACAACTGACTAGGGAATTTGAAATGAATGACTTGGGATCAGCAAACAAGATTCTAGGGATGCAAATTCACCGAGGCAGAAGTAATAGGAAGATTTGGCTTTCACAAAAGAATTACTTGAAAAACATCTTGACACGATTCAGCATGCAAGATTGTAAGCCAATTTCTACCCCTCTTCCTATTAACTTCAAATTATCCTCCAGTATGAGTCCTAGCAGTGAAGAAGAGAGGGTGGAGATGTCTCGAGTACCGTATGCATCAATAGTGGGAAGCTTAATGTTCGCTATGATATGCACAAGACTAGACATTGCACAAGCAATGAGAGTGGTTAGTCGGTACATGGCGAATCCAGACAAAGAGTATTGGAATACAGTAAAGAGGATCCTGAGTTACATCAAAGGGACCTCAAATATTGCATTATGTTACGGAGGATCAAACTTACTAATCAATGGGTATGTAAATTCTGACAATGCAGGAGATTTGGATAAAAGCAAATCTACTACAGGATATGTGTTCAAAGTTGCTGGTGAAGCTATAAGCTGGGTTTCAAAATTGTAGTCAGTTGTGGCTACATCCACAACAGAGGCAAAATATGTAGCAGATACACAAGCCAGTAAAGAAGCAATTTGGTTGAAGATGCTATTGGAGGAGCTTGAGCACAATCAAGAGTATGTCTCTCTATTTTGTGACAGTCAAAGCGCCTTGCATCTAGCAAGGAATCCAGTATTTCATTCAAGGAAAAAACACATACTAGTTCAGTACCATTTCATTCGTGAAAAGGTGGAAGAAGGGACGATAGGTATGCGGAAGATCCATACCAAAGACAACATAGCAGATTTCATGACGAAGGGGATCAATACAGATAAATTTACTTGGTGTTTATCCTCTTGTGACCTGTCAGAAACGTAAGCAACATGATGGTACAAGGTAGAAAGAATGGTGTGAAGATATGATTGTTACAATTAAACCTTCAAGTGAGAGATTGTTGAAATTCCAAGTTAATTGTCAAATTTGGGAGCACCGAAAGTGCACAATTAATGGCACCGAAAAATAGATAGCAATTGTTGATTTTTTTACAATGGTAAAATTACACATTTAGTCATTGTACTTTAGGGTATTTACAAGATTAGTCTTTAAGCTTCAACTATAAATACCCTAACCCATTTAGCTTCAAAATCATCCCAAATCATTCTAGCTTTCTCCCAATACTAGAGAATTTAGAGAGTTTCTTTAGAGTTTTTTTCTCATTTTTTATCAAGAGAGAATTATCATTGTTTTCTCCTTGGTAGATCGAGAGAAGTTATAATTCCTATTTTCTCATAGTGAAATTCTTCTACCGTTGCCCGTGGTTTTTACCCTATATTATTTAGGGGTTTTCCACGTAAAATTTGTGTCTTCTTTATCTTCATTTTTATTTTCTCAAATTATCAGTTGCGATTTTGTTTTATCTGATAGCCGTCTTCCGCAAAAATTTATATTCTAATTACAATTAAATTTTTAAAACGGATCCATCGTGGAGGAATTCTTGAGCTTTTTAATAGTTACTTAATAAAAATAATTTATTTATTGGTGTGTTTCGGTACGTCGCATTAATGGTGTGTCTCAGTGTGCTGCCTGTGCTGTAGAATTTTCCTATAACTTCAGTAATTTCTAATAAAACATTACGTACCGATAATCTTATTTTCAAAATTTATCTCGATTTTGGATGTTCCGACCCTACATTGAAGATGCCAAAAGCAACAGTCAGCCACCAAACGTATGTCCAAAGCTCAGTCAAATTCTTTTTAACTTCCGATGAACATCGAGGAAAGAATGAAAATGAGAACTTTAGGATTGACAAGGATGGATCATGGCCATGGAAGTAGGCTCTAGTTTAGCAAAGTCGTATTTCGGGACAATGGGGAGGCTGTGGCACCATTTTCCAGATACGCGTTACCAGTTCTTCGATCTCGAATCTAAAACATCAGATATGCTACACTTTTGTTGTTTTTCTCAGACAATAAGCAGCTGCTCCATAATCTTACTTTCATTATTTATTCTCTTGTTTTAGATTTTGCCTTGAAATCCAAGGAGCTACATGACAAATGCATCAGCAGACAAGTTGATTATTCTCTTTTAAATCTTATAAAAAAGACAAGCAGGCTGGAATACATTTATCATTTTGATTGCTTGTCATGAAATCTCAGTTTCTTTTTAATATATAAATACAAAAACAAACACATATGATATAAGGATTTCATATCAGTTGTATGTAGCTGTGCTGACCAAATAGTCTGAAAAATAAACAAAAGATTCCTAAATGAATTTAAGCATCGGAGAGAGCACTAAAACCAAAACTCGATATCCTTTGACATCATTGTGTTTTGGGTAGTTGTGTTGTGGGATGATCTAATCTAGATTAATTTACGATTTATCAATTTAAAATATTATTTTATTTAATCAAAAAGTTATACAATTCATAATATCTTTAGTTATAACCGAAAATGTTATATTACGATGGATTTTAATTTTAAATGTTACATATCTACGGGAATAGTTACGGTGACGTCTCCTCTCTTTCCTCTTTTTTTTTTCTTTTACAATTTGTGTCAATTTTTTTTATCAATCCAACTTTTTCTTCTTCAATTTTGTTTAACTGCCGGCGGCACTGGTTTTAATGCTGGTTGCCTCCCTCCGGTTATCTTTTTTTTCTTTGTTTTTTTTAATAAGAATAATTATGTCTTTGTGACATGTTCTCTGTCTTTATGACACATTTATATTTGTCTTTTGGTAGCTTACGTTTTTTTGCCGTTGTTTACAGTTATTTGCCGTTATTTTTGTTTATCTTTTTTCTCATGGTTAGATTTGACATCGCCACGACTGATCAAGATGACACTTATTTGTTATCATGTTGATCTTCCCTGCTTTGGACCCTCGGATTGATTTGGATACACGTTTTGTGTTCGTAGATAGTTTTTTCACGTAGCTTGACTCTGATTTACGATTTGTCGGTGATCTTTCAATAGTTTCATCCCCTTTCGTGGTTAGTTTACCGATGCAGTCAGATTTGTTTGTATATTTATTTTATTCAAGTTTTTTTGTTAGTTTTTTTAACATTTTCCTTCTTTGATCCTTATGTGATCTAAGTAACTAATTGTTATCTCAATGGTAATAGTAAAATGTCATAATTATATTTTAGGTTTACGGTTATGCTTGTAAATCTTCATTGTAATTTTAGATATTTTCTATTTTTAATAAAACTAACGACTTTCTATAAAAAAAAATTGTTACATGTCTACTCTAAAAAATTACACAACTAATAATAATATCAGTCACAACAAAAAATTTACATGAAATAAAATATAATATTTTTTAGTTTCAACCTAAATTGTTACCTAGATTAGAGAGTTACACTCTTAGCAAGTGTTCCCGTTACAATTGATTTTTGTGATTTTTAACTTTATATTAACCGGATGTATTTTGTACTCGTCCATATATGTTTTGCAATATTTCCTGCCTTTTAGCTGCCTGCTTGATCAGCTTTTCACACTTAGACATGGACATATTAAATTATTCTCCTTTTTTATCCTATTTTATTCTATCATTTTCATGATTCCTGTACTCAACGCAACAGCCGTGCTTCAGTTTTGTTAACCTTGCTTTCACAAAAGGAAAAATTCAACGCTGTTTGATGATTCCTCCTTTCGTTTTCTTAACCTTTTGTGTCATTTTCAATCAATTTAGAGTTGGCCGAGTCCAATGTTTATACTTCAAATTTCTCGTATTCCAAACAACAAATCTTAAATAATTTAGGTTCCCCAGCAATGGTTTTCCAGGAAAACTTCAGTGATCAGCACATTTAAGTCAACAAAACCTTTTCTTCCACATTTGCAGCCGATGCCAATGTTTTTCGAATCTATCTGAAACAGCTTCAGTGTTTTTCCCATCTTCCTGTCATGGATCGGTTTCGGCTTGGTTTCTTCGTGCTATTATGTGTTTTCATGCCAAAGTTCCATGCTCAACAAAGTTATTCGGGAAACTCTATACTGAAGTGTGATGAAGATGATGAAACTGGCCCATCTTCAGCTCTTCTTTACACTTGCAATGGTGAAAAGCCATCCTGTCAGACCTTTCTGATATTCAAAGCTTATCCTCCATATGACTCGATCTCAACCATCTCGAACCTTACGTCTGCAGATCCATTGGAGCTTGCTCACATCAACAATATTTCACTTTCTACAATCTTCCCTGCAAACAAAGAGGTGTTTGTCCCTGTGAATTGTTCTTGCTCAGGTCAGTACTATCAGGCCAACACCTCTTACATCATGCCGAATATGCATCTCGATTATTTTTCGATTGCAAACGAAACCTATCAAGGGTTGTCGACCTGCAAGTCGATTGAAAAAGAGAATAGTGATTCAAGCTTGCAACTTGGTTCAGTTTTACAAGTACCACTTAGATGTGCTTGTCCCACAAGAAATCAGACTTTAAATGGTACTAAATATCTAATGACTTATGTGGTTGATTGGGGGGACACCATCTATGATCTCAGTAATAGATTCAACACTAGCATGGAAAGTGTTGGTGATGCAAATGGAATTGATTTAGATGAAGCAATTATTTTCCCCTTCACAACTATTCTTATTCCATTGTCAACCCAACCTTCAATCTCTCAAACTATAATTCACTCTCAACGGCCACCCTCTTCTTCACCCGTCACTCCGATAGATGTGATCAGACCAAAGAAAAGATTCAATGTTTGGATCACAATCGGAGTTCCTTTGCTTGCCATTTTCCTTCTGCTCCTGTTGGTGTTTTTATATCATAAGAAGAAAACAAGTGAGGCTGCTGCAAAAGATGAGAGAAAGAAATGGGAGTTACCAAATGATGTTCTGGTTAGCATAGATCAAAGCTTGAAACTTTATGACTTCAACGATATAGAGGCAGCCACTGAAAATTTCAGCAATAAAAACAAGATGGGTGCTTCTGTTTATCGAGGTGTTCTTGAAGGAGAATTGCTGGCTATAAAACAAATGAGCAAAGCTGTAGATAAGGAGGTATGCTTGCTGCAGAGGATTAACCATTTCAATCTAATAAGCCTTCGTGGGGCTTGTGAGCACTCTGGTGTTTTCTACCTTGTTTATGAGTTCATGGAGAATGGTTCTTTAAGAAAATGGCTTCGAAACAAGAGTTGCCAGAAATTTCAAACATGGCATTATAGGATTCAGATTGCTTTAGATGTTGCTAATGGGCTTCATTACCTTCACAACTTCACCACCCCAGCATATGTGCATAAAGATATTTGCAGTGATAATGTGCTGCTCGATCGAGATTTGAGGGCAAAGATTGCTAACTTCAGTCTTGCACGATCAGCTGAAAGAGAAGATAGCAGAAAATCATCGATATGGAGTTCTCTGGGAACAAAGGGTTACAAGGCACCTGAATATGTTGAGTATGGCTTGGTGACACCTGAGATGGATGTATATGCCTTCGGGGTTGTTCTACTGGAACTGATTACAGGAAAGGAAGCTGTTTTTATGCAGGATGGAAAGGAAATACTATTATCAGAAGCAATATTAACAATTATGAAAGGAGAAAATGCAGAAGCTGAACTTGATTGCTTAATCGATCCTAACCTCAAAGGATACCTCTGGATGGAACTTGCACATCGGCTGTTGAAACTGAGCATTGACTGCTTGGCAGAAGAACCAGAAAGCAGACTGAGCATGGCTGAAGTAGTTTCATATCTGTTGAGGATTCAACTGGATGCACAGCGATCGGAAGAACCATTTCCATTAGAATGGCATCAAAAGCATAAGGTAAATAAATGCGAGTATGTTCGGTAATCGGCATTTGAAATGTAACAATCATAATTCTTCTGTTAATTGCGTTAATATATAGTGTTCCTGTTGCTTTTCTCTTTAACATAAATAAAACATAGGGCAAGCACATTAGATCAATCCTGAAAAATGTTTTGATGACCTTATTTCCTGAGCCCGTCTTTTCTATCAAATTTCATTTCAGAATTTGATTCAAAAAGTTGACATTTGCAAATTGCAACATTAAAAAAAGAAGATAAAAAAATAGTTTTCTGAAAGACTGCAGGAAAAGGGGGAAAAGGGTTGCCACAATAGTCTAAATAAAACAGTAGTAACCATTTTGCTAAATACTTCGCTTTGAAAAAGACAAACTCTATGCAGAGGCTGTAACACTGTTATAATAAATACTATAAACTCTGGTGAGATCTTCAGAGCTAACTGTCCAGACATGACCTCGTAATGCCAGTGGAAGGGCTGCATCAGCCTCCTCATACCTCTCTTCTACATCAACAGCCTCTTTTCGCTTGCCTTCTTGCCAAAGACTCTTCACAAGCAAGTCTTTTGTGGCAGCATCAGGCATTAAACTTGAATTTCTCATGTCTTCAAAAACTCTATATGCAAGTGCAGCTCTCTGACACTTGCAATAAGCTTGGATTAACAACTTATACATATATGCATCTGGTTCCAGGCCATTATGTCTAACCATATAAATGAGTTGCTGAACAGTTCTGATATCTCCCTGTAATGCAAAGTGATATATCAACCCAGAAAATGTCTGGATATCAGGGAAAACACCATTTAAAATCATCTCATCAAGTACTTCCAGGACATCAGAATTCCTACGAGACTTTGTTAATGCCCTCAAGAGAGAAGAATACAAAAGCATTAGATTGAACCTTGATATGTGACCACAAAGTGATCTATCATCACGGAAGACCTTCAAGGCAGCATCAGCATTCTTTGAAATACCATAGAATTCAATTAGCAACCTTATGGTGCTGAAAGGCAATTTCATTTGCTCCCTCCTTACTTTGTTTATAAGTTCATCTACTAATTCAACATTTCCATGGCGCGCCAGCAGAGTCATCATTCTTTGAACTGTGTAAATGTCATGAGTGAATCCTGGCTGAGAAGCTACCCAACAGAAGAAATTCCAAGCTGTTTCGGTTGAAGTGAAATTCCTAAGAACTTTGCAAACCAACCTACTAGTCCACACAAATTTAGCGTCCTCTAATATATTTACCACTTCAGGATTCCATTGTTTTAAGGCATTCGCCAAAGCTTTTGGATCCACCCATGGTTTCAATTTTACCATATGAATGTCAACTCCTTCATTCACATTATCATCCCCATCCTCATAGGCATCCTCATCTTCATCTTCATTATTACTATCCTCGCAAGAACCGACACTCTTGATCCTTCCATCAGGCAGCATTTCTACAAGAAACTCATCGGCCTCACCACCAAATCCTACCTTTTTCATTCGCTCCAAATACACACGCATTGCTCGTCCAGGAAGCTTCCCATCCTCCCTCATTTCTTTAAGCAAACTTTCCACCACATCAAACCGTTCCCCACCAACAAACCCTTCAACCAAAATCAGAAACTGTTTCATAGTCCTCTTGATTCTCATTGACGGCAATACACTAAACACTTCCATTGCGGCATCCAACTTCCCTAACCTTACAAGTTGCTCGATCAAAATAGTATAAGTCCTGGAATTTGGAATCGCCCCTTGATCAATCATACCCCGGAAAGCCTTCACAGCCTCAAAATTCATACCCTTTTGAGCATAAAGCCCTATTATAATGTTATGAGCCTCAGTTGATAGACGATTTTCCTCACTCGTATACTCTTCCCATGTTTTCAAAACTTCTTGAAGGTCCCCCGCAGTAGAATACCAAAACAAAAGGTTCATAAAACTGACTTTAACATTGTTAAATTTTCCATCTTTAACGACACCAATCAGGGCCTTGAGTCCCTCCTTTCGCTTGAACTTTGCAAGAACAGTGGCAAAAGCAAAAAGTGTATTCTGGGAATGCTCAAAATTTGGAACTTTCTCGAGGTTTTCAAAGAAAGAAACAGCAGAGTCCGCTGAAGGAGCAGAACGAAAAGCGTTAGCAACAACGAAGGAGTCAAGAAGGCGAGTTTGGAGAAGAGGGTTGAGTGAGTTAGGAGAGCTAGAACGGATAGCGAGTCGGATTGAGTCGATGAGTTTGGCTCGCTGAAGGTAATGAGTGAGTTTGTTTGGGAATGGCTCGCGTGCAAAGGAGCGAACTTGTTGGTTTAGGAGGCTAACCAGGTTTTTACAAGACGAGAATCGTTTAAAATACATTGCCATTTTAGCAAATAAAAAAGAAAGATTAGGAAATAATCAACAAGCTGCCTTTGGATCACATCTCTTTCGCTATGACAAAAATGCAAACACTTGGTCTGCATGAGAGATTTTTAACAAACGCATACATTTCCAGGAGTCGTTGAAGTTCATAGAGACTATTTTAAAAAGTGTATTCAATGGCCTGGTCTCGCTTAAATACGGGCTCCTTTAGATTATTATGGGTCAAACTCTAACCCCCAAAGTAGTATCTTTCCTTTCTAATGAATGACATCTTAATTTAAGATTAAAAAATGAAAGAAATATATGCAATGACAGTTTAATTTAAGGTCAAGAAATGATTAAACTGAAAATATTATTTTTTTCATAATATTTTTGTAATATTCTTGATATAATTAAAAATTAAAAAAAAAAATTAAAAGGAAAAATATTGTAAGCTGCATCCAATCAAAAATATTATGTTTTTTATAACATTTTAGTTGCACCCATTCTCAATCGTTTCTTAGCCTTAAATTAAGATGTCGTACGATGTAATATGTATTTATTAACTACATGATTGATTACTTATGTTTGTATTTTGTCTATTTTTCTCACTGATTTCAAAAAATATAATATATTGTCACTTTTATTTTTATTTAATTAAGATATGGTCAACACGAGTTAACTGTCGTTAATAGATTAGGTGGCGTGATAATTAAATATTTTGATATAATCACACATTTGGTCCATACGTTTACATATTTGCTCAATTTAATCATACTTTTAATAAATTAAAATGAATTTAACATATTAAATTAAAATACAGCTAGTCCTCCAACAAAATGATGACACGTGACACCAATGACACATGTCATCATTCTATTAGAAGATTAAATTTATTTTAATTTATTGAACGTATGACTAAATTGAGAGAATATGTAAATAACAGAGATAAAAATATTTGATTATATCAAAATATTTATATGTCGTGTCACCTAATCTGTTAACTACTAACAGTAATTAACCCACGGTGACCACATATTAATTAAATAAAAACAAAAATGACCATATATTTTATTTTTTTAAAATTAGTGAAAAAAAGTGAATAAAACACAAACATAAATGATCAATCATATGGTTACGTAATTAACATTCATACATATCATTAACAATGTACCGCAAAAAATAAATGTTGTTTAGGAAAAGAAAAGTAAACGAGAGATGCGTAGGAGGTGACATATATTTATATATTACATGTATTTGTATTATTATATTTCTTACGTTTTAATACCATTCAAGTACATTGTAATAACTAGCAACATCCTATGTGAGGAGAATATTACACTAATCGCAAATGAACATTTTCATTTGCTTGTTCAGTTCTGTCATGTATTAATTATGTTTTTTTTTTCATTTTTACTGTATTATATTTTCTAATAGACAGGAATCCGGTTCTCCAACGACCGGTTATTGTGAACTAGAAAGGGAAGCTTCCGGTCATCCGAATATGATCGAGTGTTCTTTTAAGACCGTACTTGTTCACTGCTTGATTACCTTGCCTGAATCCCTCTCCATAAGCCTTGGATGAGTCCGATTCAATCTGGTGCTTAAAAAAGCCACCAAGTTTATTCTCAAAATCAGAGCGCTTGCCTTTCTTTGATGATGTGGAAGATGATGATGATGATGACGGTGATGATGACGAAGAGGATGAGGATGAAGCCGCATCACTTCCGGAGGCAGCATAGATCTCCGAGTCCAACCACATATGTGCCAATACCTGACATATTCCTTCCTCGACTTCTGGACTCAGATTCGGATAACCTGTCGAATTTCCCGTTCAGTTGATAGTTCATACCATAACATTAAAAGAATTGCAAGCGTTAATCAGACTCGTAGAACAGATAAACACCTTTAAGCCTAAGCCAAGCATGCATCATCTCATGAGCCAGGATAGATCCTGTCAGCAGCCTGTATGTACAATAAAAAAAATTATATCAAAGGCAAAAGTAACAGAAATACAGCATGAAAGGAAACATGAAATAATACCTAGGAAGACCATACAAAATGAGAATAGCTGTAACTTCACATCGACGGATTAGCCTGTGAGGCTCAGTAATCATGTCAATAAACCGATAGCCTGCCCCAATCCTTGGCCTCCTCAAGACCTGGCAATTTGAATCAAAACAAACATGCAAATCTAGTTAAACATGGTGTCTCGATAAAACTTAACTACAAAAGTTAAGAAGAATTCGAGAGGAGATTCGTACAGTGGTAACTGTCTGTTCTTCGGACAAGCAGAGTCCTCTAGTTTCTGGTAAGTGATGATGGCCCTAACCACAATTAAGATGTTATGTTAAACAAGACTAAAAGATACTTTCCTCTTTAATAGATAAAACTTCCAATGCTTAAGCCTTTACATTCTTTTCTCCTTCCATGGCCTCGTTTAGAGCTTGCCTCTCAACAAGAAGTAGAGGAACCTGTTGTTCCACTTTCATATTTAATCCTTCATAAAATTCTTGGATTTCAAGGTAAAGAGGCTGGCATTCATAAGTGTCCATAATTGCAGAATCTAGACACTCTAGGCACAGCTTCCGACCATCATCGAGTGATAAATATTTCGTATCGGCTGGCTGCAATCACAAGGGTTTATTAAAGATACACTTTTTTGCGCAACTACAAAAGGATTTCATTTCCTTCTCTTCGCTCATTTCTAAAAGAAAATGGGAGCAT